AGAGAAGCTGTATATCTATCCTATTTTTTATATACAGGTACAAAATGGCGCTTCATTTATATCCCCTCTTTTGTCTAGTTTTGTCAGAGCTGGGTATTCTATTGCCATTTAGATATTGTAGTTGCGTGAATTCAGCAAAATAATCCAATATAATTCAGTAGTCCTTAGGAGTCATGGGTTTTCCAAAGGACTGGCAAAAAGCAAATCACATAGGTAATGCTTGAAAGGTTAAAGTAGATTGACACAGACAAAACCGATAGAGCGTATTGACATTTCTTCAGTTTAATCCTGCAATGATTTAGGGTGTAAATGTGTGTGTGCACATGTGTGTTCATCCTTGTGTGCATCTTCATGCAAATTAGTCACCGGTGTGTAATTATGCAAACATGAGCACAAACCTCAGTTCTGTTCCTCCAGCATAAGTTTCCTTCTTCTAGACTGTTATTCATAAAAGTTTACCATGTCTTTCATGTTTATGGTAAAACTATACACTTCCCTAGAAAAAGAGTCTGGAATATAAAGGGCAAAACCATGCCAGATGGCTGGGTGCCTCACACATACTCAGCGGATGCAAGGTATTTATGTATAAATGTGTATTAAGCATCTGGCTTAGGACCTCCCACTTCACAGAAAACTACTAAATATTTCTTAAACAGGAGATCTATGTTCAACAAATGTTCTACAAATATTAAATCTTTGTATACTTCTTTATTATGAAACATCTTTAACCTTGAACCCTAGCCAATTCGTCCATCAGTCTTGATGAAAAACTCCATCAATGCACTTGAAGATGAACAATGGAAGAGAGTACGGACATTGCTATCACCCACTTTCACCAGTGGAAAACTGAAGGAAGTAAGCATGAATGAAGGTTTTTATTTGAAAATTTAAAGAATGAGTTTGTGGGAAAGTACAAAGTTCTTCATCTCTTTTTCTAGGACAGCCTCCTGCAGGAGAGCTACTAAGAATGAGTTTTCCCTTTATGACCTAGGAAAAAATACACAATTACTTACAAAATGCTATACATGGTTTCATGACCCAGAATGCCTTGTATTTTGTGTGTGTGTGTGTGTGTGTGTGTGTGTGTGTGTGTGAATTTACCTGAATATTATGCTATTTTTTTTTGCTTAGATGTTCCCCATTATTGAACAGTATGCAGATGTGTTGTTGAAAAACCTGAAGCGAGAAGCAGAGAAAAGTGCGCCCGTATCCATGAAAGAGTAAGTTGCAGGACACCTGCTGGGCTTCTGAGTTCTATATGGGACCCTCCACCTGCCTGCAAGGAAGCTGATATCTCCATTTCTGAGTAAATCCAGGGACAGACAAATTCATGTGTGAAAAAGTGTTAAGGTAATGAGCCTTCCAATTGTGGGATCTTCCTCTTGAAGGCTGGGTGCCTGGAGTAGAAAGGTTTGACTTCTCTGTGCAAAGGAACCATGTTTATGTGAACTGGTTATTTGTCACCTTGTATATTGTAGACAGCATACTGCCCAGTGTACAAAGAAAAAATGCAATCATAACAAAGGTATGAGTGTAAAGGATGGGAACAGTAAGAGAAGAAAGGATGTGGTACAGAGAGAAAAGCAATGGATGGGTGAGGAAAGATACACTCTGAAACCATGAACAACCTAGACCTCAATATGATTTATGTCTGGTTGTTCCCCAAAAGCCTCATGTTGCCTTCTGAAGGCCTATAAAGTTTGTGATTAATTTTTGATCCAGTTCTGGGATTGTGGGTGTGAGTGCCATACTTGCCCTAAGGGGGATAATATGCATCCAAATGTAAGGAGGGAAAATCAGCTGGCTAGCTGCCTTAGCTGTGACTGCTCTCTTTGCACTTTGCTATTCTCCTGATAACATGAACAGCTGCCCTCTTCTATGTAGCACTGTTACTTGGAGCATGAAAGTATGGACTGAAACTTCCACTAACTGTGAGCTAAATAAACCTTTCCTTCTTTAAGCTTGGGGGATGTGTATTTTATCCCAGCAATGAGAAAAGAGTCACCAAGAAAACCTCTTTATGATTTTTCTAAAGATTCTTGAAGTTCTCTAAATATTACTCTTTTCCAGTACTTCTTGTACTGCAACCATAGCATTTCTTATGTAAATATGGGGTTTTTGACTTATGAAGGATGATCAGGTTCAACTCTTCTAGCAAGCTTAAATATAGGCATCTCCCAAATCAGTGTTGTACTGATTTATTATTATTCTTTTTTATTTGGCAGAATTGAGGATTGATCTCAGGCCCTTGCACTTGCCAGGGAAGTGCTTATTCCACTGAGCCATCTCCTC